CAATCGTTCGATCGGCTGAATTGCACAAAACCCATGATCGCACCGGCTAGTCTGGTGCGCGTTGCTGTTTTTTCATCTCGCCGCACATGTTTAGCGGTTTAGCAGTTTTTTCTTCCGTATTTATTAAATAATAGATCAGAAAGATTGGTCTAAGGTGACATGTGCAATTCTTCGCGCCCATACCTCTTCAGTAAGGCAAAAGTTTATTTGGGTTTGTGGTACTTTTGGTGAAACGGGATTGATATTGAGTAGGTTGAATCGATTAACATTGTTATGATTGTGAATATGGGTAGCGACTGTAAATCAATGTGGGAGGGAGGGAGGGAGGGAGGGAGGGAGGTATTTATAATCAAGGCATCTAATCCCTCATTCGTTTCGATGGTAATTTACAGAGGCTTATGTTGTAAAGCATGATTTTTAAAATATTAATAGAAAAAATTACAGGTAGGCGAAGTTCTAAGGGATAAGTAATGGGAGAATATTAAAAAAAATTTTTTTTCTAAAATATTTAATACAGCAGCTAGGTAAATGCTGGAAAATGAATGTTTTGCGAGGGATTCCAGTCGGCTATCAGCCTGCCTCTTCTGAGTAACCCTAGAAAGAGGGCGCCATCGACAGCCTTGCCAGCTAGCAGTTGTTTTTAGTATTTGCTACCACTTCAGGTCACTTCCCGAGTGCCTCCGCCTCTCATAGTGGGTGAGTACGGAAGGGGACTTTTGGTTTTTGATTTATAGTCGGAAAATGATTATGCCCTCTTTTTGCTAAAGATCTTTTAATGTCCCCGGCGATTTGTTAAAAATGTTATTGCATTTAGATTGCAGTTTGGAATTTAGTTAGTTGAATTTATTACGGGTTTTTGTCTGACATACACTTATCTTGCAGGAAGATTCATTACCTCCGCCAGCAGCTCCAGTCACAGCACAAGTGGCTACGGAGAATAAAGGCAAGCAGAAGCTGGATGCAGCAGAGGAAACAGTTGATGCTAAGCTGAAACGAGCGCAACGTTTTGGCTTGCCACTGTCTAATGAGCAACTGAAGCTAAAACGTGCTGAACGGTATGAACTTTCTTTTTTTTGCTCTAAAGCTAGTAAATTCCAGTGAACATTACTGTAGAGTAGAGAATATGAATGTGGTCTTTGAAAGTTTTGTTAAAAAAAAAACAAAGGATTGAGTTCAGGAGATCTTTCCAGGCAGTTTCCTAGTTTAACTCGTTGTCCGCACTAATAAAAAATGGTAACTTGGATGTCTACTTTGAATGTTAGAGAATAGAAGGACTTTGACGCAAAACTAAATAGGTGATGGTTGGATGGTAGAGGATACACAGCGGGGATAACCAAGTCAAATTCCAATGAACATTACTGTGAATTTGAGAATATGAATGTGGTCTTCGAGAGTTTTCCTGAAAAACAAGGAAGTGTGTATAGTTTGCTGGCAGAAATGCATAACCGTTGTTGATGGGATTGCGAAGAGCGAAAATCCACGGTGCTAATTGGGTATTGAGGGCTGTGGCAGCTGGGATAAGCTGGGAGGATTTTACAGATTGAAAAAGATATCTGTGGTGAGTTTAGTGAAATTGAGAGAAAATCTGGAATGATCCTAAAAGTTAGTTTGAAAATTGCGAAGTTGGCTTCCCAGAAAATGACCAGAAAAATCTTTATTTTTGACAATTCAAGTAGTGCTTCGCAGGTTTTACAAATGAATTTGTAATTGTCGTCGTAACAGTGTTTCTGGGGCAATCCACCGAATGCAGTTCCTTCGAAAGCTCACGTTGGTTTGCTTCCCGTCACAGCAGCAGCAACAGCAGCAGCAGCAGCTAGCAATCTACTTCCAAATGCCGAAATCGCTTTTGCCACGAAATAAGTTTGCTTAAGTTGCTTGAGAAATGGGAACGAAAACTGGATTTGCAGGTTTGGCATTGTTAGTGATGCGCAAAAAAGACAGGAAATTTTGGAGAGACGAGCTAAGAGGTAGCGTTTTGATTGCTTCTGCTTTCAAAATGAGCTTCTCGTGCAAAAAGAAAAAAAAATGCTCATGCCTGAAATTCGATGAAATTCCGGTTGAAATATGTGCAGAAACGAATTTTTTTTTATACTTTAGAATAGGAGATTTAATATTCGCGTTATTTATTTTGTCGACGTAGCCAGCAGAAGGAGGGAAGTAGCTTGGGGCTTCGACTTCTCAGCTGGAAAAACGCAGCGATTTGTTCACTCCTTTCGATGGTAGATTGGCGCTTGTACATATCAATGAGTCAAATTCACCATCATTTTGCTCGTAAAAAATTCGCAAAAGAGGGAGCTATCGATTGTCTTGCCAGTAAATGCTTTCAGTTGGCATTTGCTATCACTCGAGCTACTTCCCGAATGCTTCTACTTCTCATGAGCAGCGAATACGGAAGGGAAAAGGGGTGGGAGGGGGAGGGGGAGGGGGAGGGGTTGGCTTTCATTATAATATTCTGCTGGCGTTACGGCATACATGTAGAAATTTACTTTATTTCTGTTCGATATTTTTTTTCCGAAATTATTGTCATTGGTTGTTTTCTTGTTTTTTTTTTCCTCTCAGAAGTTTTTGTATATTTTATTTGTATGTGCTTTCTAGATTTGGACAAGTGAGTAACAAAAGTTCTTCGATTGGCGTAGTTGAGAAGGCTTCACTGGACGTTTTGGAAAAGCGTGCAAAACGCTTTGGATTATGTTCTGAGGAAGCTGAGGTGCATTTTTGTTTCGTAATACACAAAGTACTTGCTCACAAAACACTATAGAAATTCCTCGGGTGCATGATTTTGCTGTTTGTGTGCGCATCAGTTTGAAATTTTTGCGAAAATTGGCACTTTATGTGAAGAAATTGTAAAACAAGCAAATTGTAATACAGTGAATCTTATTGGGCAACTTATGGTTTTTATGCGTTTTTTGCAGTAATGCAATGCAAAAAACGCATATTGACGAGAGGTTGTCTGT